GCCTTCTGCTGGCAATCTCCATAAAGGGTACAGAAGAAGGATGCTTGTGTCTTTGTCTACTTGCTTTCATTCTTTCTCGCAGGCATTCGAGCCTACTTCTTGAGGATTTTGGCTTATACCTAAAGACTAGCTAAGATATTCAGCCTCCTGGACTGAACAAATACTAGATTCTTGGACTTTCCTTTCAGAGCCTTTGTGACTACTCAAAGTGCAGTGCTGAGAATCTCACAGGGGAAACTGGGGGACAGTAAGAAGTCTGGAGTCCCCCAGCTATCTGCTGATTCTGGAGCAGAGAGGAAATTATTGGTTGAGCAACATAGAGTTGTAGCCACGTAGTAAAATGTTTTTGGAAAGGAAAAGAAAGAAAGGAAAAAAGGAAGGAAGGAAAGAAGGAAGGAAGGAAGGAAGGAAGGAAGGAAGGAAGGAAGGAAGGAAGGAAGGAAGGGGCGGGCTCAGAGTCAAAGGCATTTTAAATATTAAGTGTCAGGCTAACCAGGAGACCTGACCTAAGGCTTTAGTGGTGAGAGGACATTACCAAAAGCAAGGTTAGGTTAAACAACTGGTTCTCAACCTTCCTAATGCTTCAACACTTTAATGCAGTTCTTCATGTCCCCACCTATAAAAAATGATTTTTGTTGCTACTTCATAACTGTAATTTTGCTGCTGTTATGTATCATAATGAAAATATCTGTGTTTTCTGATGGCTTTAAGGTGACCCCTGTGAAAGGGTTGTGACCCACAGGCTGAGAACTGTTGAGTCAAATAAGAAAGAAAATTCTCCACAGGGCACAGTAAAAGTAAATGGTTCCTACCCACATGGCAGGGTATGTGGGGAAGACACGGGTGAAATTCTTCAAGGAATTCTGGACTTCTTTACCAAAATCTAGAAGCTGATGCTACCTGGTCAGGATGAAGTCTACCCCCTAGCATCAACACAGGAAAACCAGGGGCCTGGGCCAGGATAGTTCTTTAGGAGCCTCTCTATCCTTGAATTCTTGAGCCAGATCCTTAACTTTCCCCTATAAGGCTCTCAGTGGTCTCTAGATGGAAGCCAAGATGAGGCAGGTTGCCAGATAGGCCACACAGCATTGCTTTGTGCAAAGATGAACGTATGAAGGAAGGTCCCCAAGGAGGCCTTAAACACACTCTCCTGCCCTGCCTGCCTCTAACTGCAGAAGGTGCCATTGGCAATCTCACCTATAGAGACCAGTCTTCTTGTATTCCAGCCAATCAGCAAAACACAGATCCATTATGCTCAGGAATGCGTTCTAAGAAACTTAATCTAACTGCTGAGTTGGGGCCAGACCTTCCAGTGGCATTAACCCAAAGATAGCACCCTGTTTTCTGGCCCCCACCAGCCTTCCTAGCAGCCTAACCGCTCCCTCCTTCAATCTTGGGAGGCTGCTCCACCCCTCCCCGAATCCGTCCTCATCAGGACACCCATCCCACCTGCTCACCCCATTTCCCCGTTTTCCTTTCTAGTCAGACTCAAACATTTCACTTTGGATTCATATCTGAATGACAAGTTCTTGGCTTTCAAATGAGACCATGTCCACCTCAACGCACGCCCTCTCTGCCAACCATACATCCCTTCAAGCACCAGAGAAAGCAGGAGCCAAGAATTTTTTTTTTAAATAAAAATGGTAAATTGATTCTCCTCACACAGAGATATATTTTGAATCAGACAGGTCCAAACTAAACCACCTCTTCTCCAACTCCCCTTTCTTCAAACACTTAAAGGTTCAGGCTGACTCCTCATTAGGCTGGACAGACAATTAGAGAGTGTCTTCAGAGTCTGGAGACACATGCTGATCATTTGGAGATAGAATCTCTCTTCTAGAGGCTCCTTTAAGGCACAAATGTTGAAAGGTACATCTTATTTGGAATAAGGAACAACTGGGAAAGAATAAACTGCCCAGTGACAGGAAATACTTCAGTCCATTATGGAAGAATGCTACTGTAGAGAGGAGGGTAAGTAAGCTAGCTAAGGACACAATGGGGTGTGTGCGTGTGACGGTTACATGATATTATACGTTAAACACACATGCAGAAGCTCATTGGTCGTCCACTTAGGCTCCAGACATTTTGCACTTTACTGTTTGCATTTTATCCTCATTGAAGCAGAGAGGTGAACTGTGTCTATCACATGGCCAAAGGAAAATGCATATCATACAGGGCAAAATGGGAAACATAAGAATAGAAACTGTATTATTCACTCATATTAGAACAACTGTTAATACGATTTTGAAAATCCATTTTTCCTTCCAGTCACTTAGTTCCCAGCAGCAATGACTCTGAAACTAATTATTTATTATTAACTGCCTAGGCCATAAGCTTTGGATCATTCTCTAACTGGCTTATAAGTTATTTAACCCATTTAAATTATCCTGTGTCTACATTTGGTTAGTTACCCCTCCTTCGGTCCTGGCTGGCTTCTTCCTTCGCATCTCCTCTGCGTCTCCCTGAGTTCACCTACCTGCTGGTTTTCGTCTGTCTCCTCAGTCTGTCATCTCCAGTCTCTCCCTGCAGCTCCTTTTATTTTCTTTCTATTTCCCAGAATCCTCTCTTCTGCCAGTGTCCCACCTCCTATTTCCTGCCTCAGCTCATTGGCCAATGGCTTTTTATTGACAGGTGGTGCTCATAAGAGATTCTCTCTACATTCAACAACATAAATATGTGGGTATGGATAAGAACTGGAAGAGCATATGTCAAAATGACAGTCGAGGTTGTGTGAAGATGGCAGACTTAGGGATCATATTGCTTTTTACACATTCTAAACTCCCTATAGTACAATTATAATTTTAAAATTGGTAACAGGAAGTAGGAAATGTCTGATGCCAAGAAGTGTGATTCTGATCTCAGCCACTCTTGATATGATGCAATGATTCCTACCTATCTCTACTGTCTTCCTCTAAGTCTTCCAACCTCCCCTACTCCCCCTATAAGCACAACCAGAGGAAAGCACCTAGCTAGACTTTGTCCAGCACTTAGCCTGCTCCCAGAGACCTGACACTCAGAGTCAAGGGCACTCTTTTGGCCAAGGAGACGAGCTTCATGCGGGGTGGGGAGAAATATATCTCAAGATCAAGCTGGCTCCTCAGGGAAACACTCTTTGCCTGTGCCCTGTATAAAGAGGTAGAATTTGATATTTCCTAGGAAACTGGGAATGCCACCAGCAGTCCTGTTTCACTCTCCCACACTGACTTCCTCTTAGGGATCTGGAACCAGCAGCAGGGTGGAGCCTTTTGCCTTTGGTCTTCTGTCCCCTGATTCCTTGACACTCTTTTTCTGGGGCTTACAACTCACATACCCCAATGATCTCAGGTGACTTCAATAGACCCAGATGGCAGAAGTTTTCTCCCTTGGCTCTGTGGTGTGGGGGAGCTCATTTCCTGGATCCGCATCATCCATAAGCCCAATGGTGATGAAGGCATGGAAGCCCAAAGCAAGCTTATCAAGGGTAAGTGGACACTATTAAGTTATGAGAAAATAAGCCCTAGGGATCTCAAAGCTTATTTCCAAATTCGTAAGGTCTTGACAAGTTTCCCTGCATCCTACACTTCATGTGAAAAAGGGCCAAGACAGAAGCAATTCTTTGTTTCCTGGCTATAAACTAAGCATACAAGAATGAGTATCAAGGCTGCTCTGCTGGGTTAAGGAAAGCATGTGAACAGTAATTGTCATGAAGGACTCATGAATGAAGGCCTGGAAATCAGATAATAAACACCCTGTGCACAGGACATTGTACGTCAAGTGTCAATCACATATAAAGATAGTGTGACATACTGTCCCATATCATATGGCCTGCCATAACAACTTGACTAGGGTATGTAGAGTGCCAACTAGCATTACCTATCCCTGGTGAAGCTTCTCATCCAGCTGTGACTATCAAGACACTTGATCCTCACTTTTTCTTATTGGATCCTCATAATATATACTTAAATTGTTTATACAAATTATGCCCCACTTAAGACCATAGGGCAAGAAGTACAAGGAAACTGAGTCAACCAGAATTATCTTCGTGTATGTGGAGTAGGTGGGAGGGAGGCTGCAGGCCATTAGCTCTTGGCTTCTATATATTGGCCCGAGGGCATATGTTTTCTTAATGTAATAATCACAGAAAATAAAGATGAGCAAACCTTCATTCAACATCACAAGCAGAATGTCAATAGACAATGATGTCAATCAACTATCTTACACAGAGAGCAGCAATGTAAGAAAAGAGACCCCTAAAATAGAATAAAATAGGGAGAGAAAAAGGCAGAGTGTAGGTTTTGAGTGAGCAGTCTCTCTTCCTTGCATCTCTTCTCCTTATGCAGTTGTTAGAACTTTACATTTGTTCAGAAATTTATATTTAGGGTCTGGTGAGGTGGCTCAGTGGGTAAACCCATGGAGCACTGAGCCTGATGGCCTGGCCTGTGTTCAATCCCCCTAGGACCCACAAGGTGGAAGAACAGAACTGACTCCTACAAGTTACCCTTCAGCCTTCACCTGCGTGTAGTGGCTCCCCCCTCTCTTTCACACACACACACACACACACACACACACACACACACAAATTATAATGAAAAATTAAATAATTTTCCAGGCATTAGGAATATGTCAAGGCCAAGTATGGAGTGCACAGGCTCTCTCCACAGCCCTGCTTATAAAACCTTACCTGAAATAACTCTGATGATGAGGGAAGGGGTAAGGGGTGCTCAGGAAGTGGGTGTCATATCTTATCAATACAACTGACCAAGTGGAGAGGTGGCTCCAATTCTGGGCCCCCAGAACAGTTCACTCCATGTAGAAGTTCCACCTATTATCCTACTCTTAGAAGAACTTCTCCAGGACACCAGAGACCCCAAGGGTGTTGAGCAGCCACCATGTTACCCTGAAAAATGTCAGCAGTTGGGGCCCCTTTAATGCTATGACTAACAGCATGGGGTAGGGATAGAAGAGAGAGATTGGGAGAAGATTAGACCATACCACACAGAGTGGCAAAGAAGTACACTCACTGGCTAGTGTCACCGTGGCTGGCACACTGGCCACAGCTCCCGCAGGCATCCGAGCCACACACTGGTACCGTCCCACAGTGTGGTTGTTGAGGGCAGCAATGACAAGGGTCCCACGGGTGATGAGGACACCCAGAGCATCATCCGAGCCATTTAGCTCCTTCCCGTTGAAGCGCCAGGTCACGTTCACCCATGGTGGCTCCACCACACAGCCCAGGATCACAGTTCCTCCGAGCTTCTGGACAGTGGACATGGGCTGGACAGTGACCTGAGGAACCTCATCTGGAAAAAGAACATCAATGCAGCAATGATCTGAGGCCCCCAAGAAACTGCCACTGCCACCGCCACTGCCACCATCACATTTTGAGAAGCTCTCAGGTGGCCATCTAGAATTCAGCACCCAGGCAAGCTGCTGCTCCTCCCCCAGTAACCTAGCTACCTGTGCCTATTCCCCAGCCCATCTGTTTTCAGAAAGTCCCCTTGCTTCATATGTAGTAACGCACTATAAAAGCAAGAGCTCAGGCTCTGGAGTTGGACAGACCTGGACTGAATCCAGTGCCACTGTCTCTTAACTGTGTAATTCTGGCCTTTCTTTAAACTGAGGCTAGGAATGCCTGACTCAAAGCATTCTTGTAATGCTCACAGAGTATACAAGTGGATACCCTTTGCTCAATCAACAAACGCACACTACAGGTAAGTATTTTAATACTTCTCCTCTTCTACTAGTACGTATTTGACATTACTAAAATATAAAGCTATAGCCAATATGATATTGTCCTGATCACTTTTCACCTGGGGTACTTGAGTGTGATACAGCCTGAGGATCAGTAGAGAGTTGTGTTCCTAAGTATTCTAAGCTACTTCATGCTTTCATCTGACATTAGAACAAGGTGCTCTTCTGCAGGGTGGTGGGGCTGGCTAAGAACGGAAGGAAAACACTCACTCAAATCAGCAAGGCAGCCTGCTGTGGCCAAGAGAAGCCACAGCAGTGTAAGCATAGGCCGCTCTCCTTGACACGTTGTCATCTTCCCACGAAGTATGGCGAGTCACAGAGGGTTCCGAGCCAAAGTCCCATAAGCCACGTGTTACACTCGTAGAGATACTGCCTTCCCCTGCAATCCTGTTGTGAGAGAAATTGGGAGAATGGCTACTTGAGCTTGATCCATCCCTCAGCCTCACTCCATCACGCTTGGAGGAAGCATTCAAAGTGACCGTGCTGCTGGAGGACGAAAGGGACTCTTCAGGACGTAACCTCATCTGAAGGATGCATCTTAACAGGATTCTTCCTGCATCAGGAGGTAATTTCATCATGGAAACAATTCTAGAGCCTTGTCTAGGGACTGACATCAAGGACAGGAAGCCTGAGGTATGGAGGAGCTGAGAGCTATGGAAAGGCCACAGAGGGACAATGAGTATCTATGTTGGTGGTAGCACGGGGAACAGACAAAACCATCCTTCTCGTTCACAGTCAGAAGTTCCGTATCCATGGCTATGTGGCATTCCATGTTGTAGTGTAGAACATTGTTGGACAACACTGTAAACTGAGTTCCTCTTTGGGGGACGTTCCTCATTAATGAGTCCTAGCATCACAACGATTCCTGAAAGCTTTACTTCCTCCCATACTCCCCCAAATCTCACCTATGTCCTTAGGAATTTTTATTCTCAAAATAAATCTGCCTTCTTAAGCTTTTCAACAGCATCTATTGGCCCAAGCACAAACACAGACAAAGGTGCCATGTCAGCCAGGACTGGGTAGAGCTTTATTTTAGCACTGCCTTCCAGATTCCACTTCTCTCTGACACTGGTGCTGGAATTCTGGGGTTTCCACCCCCACAATTCTCGGGGGTGCATCTTTGTCCCCTTACGATTCTGACCGCACCGCCCGTCCAGTTGCCTGATACACTAGCAGCCACCCTTTAATGCCTGTCTAAAATCCTCTGTTCTCCTCTCCCACAGCTATTCCTGTAGCTGTGGTTCTTTAAAAGATTCCTCAAAACCACAAAGTCAACTACATGTCCTTATACACGCTTCTGACACCGTCCAAACCAAGTCGTCACTCTGCTTTTGGCTGATGGATCTGTAGCGTAACCAAATAAGGAAGATGGATCAACGCCTTTATAAAACAAAGACATCAACATGGAGTCCAGGAACAAACAGGCAATGTTCCAATGACCAGACAGTGGTTGAACACCATGCCATTGCGTGTGTGTGGCAAAATTTGCGAATATGTGACGTAGAATTGGAACATTTATTTACTCATTATTTGTGTAGTCACTTTAGGGAACATGCACACATGCAAGTAGAGGCTTGAAGTCAACATCAAATGTCCTCGATCTCTATCTTATTTTCTTTCAGACAAGGTCTCTTATTTGACCTAGATATCGGCCAGGCAGTGGTGACATACACCTTTAATCCCAGCACTTGGTAGGCAGAGAGAGGTAGGTAGTTCTTTGAGTTTGATCTACAGAGGTAGGTGGATCTCTGAGTTTGATCTACAGAGTTAATTCCACGACAGGGGTACACAGAGAAACCCAATCCATCCATCCATCCATCCATCCATCCATCCATCTCTCTAGAGCTCACTAATAGGGTAAAGCCACTGGCAGCAAGCCCTGAGGATCCTCCTGTCTCTGCCACCCCATGCATTGGGATTATAGGCAGGCTATGACACCCGTGTGCCTTTATTATGTAGTCAATGGGTCTGAAGTCCACTTTATACACAGAGCCATCTCCCCAGCCAAGGAAATGATTTGACTAAAAATGGGTTCATAATCTTATTCTCGAGACTCTCAAAATGTTAAGCTTTACAGCTGCGAGAGTAATAAGGTTAAACTGGAAAAGTCACGTAAGCTTAGGCCTTGAGCATGATTTGTCTTTAACATTCTTATCTTTGTTTAAAAGGCTGAGCAGAGAACTTTGACACACTATGCAAACTTCTGCTCCCGTTATGATAATTTAATAAACCCAGGGACTGTTACTCATGAGGTAAAGCTAGTTCACACACAGGATGAGTGCTGCTGGAGACGGCAGCGGGTGAGAGAGCACAGGCTCCTGCCGTAGAGACAGCTACACCTCATACAAGACAATGCTCTCATGGAAGTCAGCCGTGAGGTAGGGGGCCAGGATCTCACAGCTGAAGAAACTGAGAACCAGAAACTGAACAGTGCATGGTTGTGAACCTGTATGCCTGGGATGAAGTGCGTGGGCTGCCTTCCTGCTACTGAGGCAGTCTTCCTACCTTTCCTATCAGGACTCTGTATCATTGATTTTTATTTTTATTTTTATTTTTTTTAAAACAGATTTGAAATAAGACTATGACCAGACAGCGATTTCTAGAGGAAACATCTTACCAAAAAATATACCTTCCTGTATCATTTCAAGTTTCCAGATCATTGTTTCTTTTAAGATTTTATTTCTTTATGTTTATGAGTACACTGTAGCTGTCTTCAGACACACCAGAAGAGAGCATCGGATTCCATTATAGATTGTGAGCCCCTATGTGGTTGCCGGGAATTGAACTCAGGACCTCTGGAAGAGCAGTCAGCGCTCTTAACTACTGAGCCCCATTTTTAAAAAATTCTTAACTGACTTTTACCCCCAATGAGATGATGTATTAAAATAGTGCCCCGCATGAGTTCCTAGTTACGGGGTTTCTTTTTTAAGGGAACTAACATGTTCATGACATGCCCCAGTTTCTCCATCCCCTTAAGGAGACTGGCACCAACTTTGTTCCCAGCCCAGGAAAGACAGATGGGGAGAGGGCTACAAAGAGAGACGGAATAAGAAGCAAGTAGCAGAGAGGGGCAGGCAGACAAGGCTGGCTGCTGCTAGCGCACACAGAGGTGTTTGGGTTGTAAAATGGACAAAGGTTTTACTAAGGAAACTCAGCCCAAGCCCCCTATTGCTTTAAGAGCGAGGGCCAAACAATTCCCATTACTCCCGCACCCTTGGTAATTTACACAGCTCAAAATGGAAACAGTTCTCACTACAGCTGCCAGCCACCATCCTGATTTTTATTTTTTTTTAAAGGCAACAAAGAAAAAAGACTTGATGTGGAAAGGGAGTGAAAGAGGGGAGAGGAAGCAGGAAGGAGCTGACCCCAAGGAGAGATTCTGGGGTCTCATTTTGTAAAAGTAGAATTGGGACTAGAGAAAAAGCCAAACAACAACAACAACAACAACAGTTGTGTGGCCCTGATGGTTTTTTTTCTGATTGGCTAGGGAAACTGAGTTCCGAGTTAATCATTTGAGACAGGGTCTCACACTTGTAGCACAGGTTGGCCTGCAGCTCACTATGTAGCTCAGGCTGATCTTGAACTCAAAGCAGCTGCTCTGCCTCGACTGCTCAACACTTTACAGGGTTTTCTAGGTATGATCCATCAGCTTCATCAGGCTTAGATTCATTTTACTTTGGCTTTTTATTTTAATTTTAATTTATAGTACTAGGGATTGAACCCCAGGGTCTGGCACATGACAGGCACACTCTCTACCATGGAACTATCGTCCTTAAATACTTACTTTACTTTCGACTGTTTGTTTTGAGATATGCTGGTGACTGAGCCCAGAACCTCATGTGTTTTATATTGTGGGCACTTCAGACACTTCCTAGACCAAGGTGCCTGCTGTTTGATCACATAACAATTCTAAAGGTGTGAATTTTAGAGAATCTCATTTAAAACACATATAAACACATATCTATGAGTGCCTATATACATTCATCTATTTATCTATTACCTGTCATCTATCACTTATCTATCACAGCGCTATCATCTATCTACCTATCATATATGAACATTCATATATGTGCCCCCGGGGTCTCAGTTAACTCCAGGAATGAGTCATAAGAACCAAGAGGCTGCCAAGGAGGGGGTCTATTTAGCAGCCTTAATGAATAATAGCGTACTGTCTGATTTGATTCTAAGGCAGAGATGTCTCCTAAGAATCTTTTTAACTATGCTCGGCCCCACAAAATCTGCATGTATTCAAATCTGAGGAAAGAGATGGGGACATACGTGGATTTGGATGCCATTCCCCCATATGGACTTCTGATTTTACACACACACACACACACACACACACACACACCCCTAGAATCTAGTATGGAATTATTTATGATTCTTAGGTGTTAAAAGACCAGCAGTTTTACAGTTTCCTAAGATGTATATGTGTGTTTATAATCTATGTATAGCTATGTATATTTATATGCAAAGCATCAGATGGAGAACCCAACTGCAATGTGACATTGCCTCCTGGTGAAATAAGCCAGGCATTTTCCAAGTTGGAAGAAGACACCAACCAGTAAAGCGTGTTATTTTCCTTGGCAATATAAAAATATGTCTGGATCCACCTTATTTTCTTATGCATTTTCTCAGAAAAAAGAGAAGAAATTATCAAAATATCTAAAGTAGACAGATGGGAAAATGATTGCTTGCCATGAATTCTAGTCCACAAGGACTAGTGACTCGCCATTTATTTTTATTTGTTTTGTTTTTTGGTGACTCGCCACTTTTAAGGGTAATTTGCACATAAAGTTTGTCTGAGAAGCTTCACTCATGATGTAGACGTTCCCCTCTGAAATACTTGGCCTCCCAGCAGTGTAAAATCAACAGCAAAATACACCTTTCTGGGGTTGAGGCCATGCATGAGGAATTGTGGCCGTTGGATATTTATTTATTTTTAATGTTTTGAGAAAATTACACACAACTGAGAGCCTATCATAGGAGGCAGCCTGTTCCATTCCTCCTCACAAGGCTGGTTGAGCCCTTGGAAGAGAGTGAACTTCCACATGGGCCACTTCTCATTCTGCCTCACAGGCTCAGAAGCAGTCCTCTGCAGGGCCTGCACCAATGACAAGAAAGGGTAATCAAGCAGACATAGGAGACTCCTCAGGAACGGTTGACTGGCAAGAAAGAGATCTGACAGAGCCTTTTGTTCTGCTGGCTGAGAAAGGCTAAACAATTAAGTGTGTCTGCCCGGGTGCATGTTGTGACGGGCTTCCAGCTTCATGGACTAAGATCCCCTTTCCCGGTGCTCTGTGAAGGCAGACT